GCGGGCGCCCCGGCGGGAGCTCAGCCCCCAGCATTTAAAGCGCCCGCGCGCCTTTTCCTCCGCGCTCGTCCTGGCCCTGGCCCTGGCCCTGGCCCGCGCCCGGGCCGGCGGGGCTTCCGCTGTCCGCCCCGCCCAGAGCCCGGCACCGCCCTCGGGTAGGAGCTGGGATACTCCCCCAGGGACCCCGGCCAGGCACCGCCCTCGGAGAGGAGCTGGGATACCCCTCCAGGGACCCCCACCCAGCACTGCCCTCACACACGAGCTGGGACACTCCCTTCAGGGACCCCCACCCAGCACTGCCCTGGGATAGGAGCTGGGACACTCCTCCATGGACTCTGACCTGGCACTGCCCATGGGTAGGAGCTGGGATACTCACTCCAGGGACCCCTTCCTGGCACTGCCCTCTGGTAGGAGCTGGGATACTCCCCCAGGGACCCCGGCCAGGCACTGTCCTCGGAGAGGATCTGGGACACTCCCTCCAGGGACCCCCACCCAGCACTGCCCTGGGATAGGAGCTGGGACACTCCTCCATGGGCTCTGACCCGGCACCGCCCTCGGGTAGGAGCTGGGATACTCCCCCAGGGACCCCGGCCAGGCACTGTCCTCGGAGAGGATCTGGGACACTCCCTCCAGGGACCCCCACCCAGCACTGCCCTGGGATAGGAGCTAGGACGCTCCTCCATGGACTCTGACCTGGCATTGCCCTTGGGTAGGAGCTGGGATACTCCCCTAGGGACCCCAGCCAGGCACTGTCCTCGGAGAGGAGCTGGGACACCCCTTCAGGGACCCCAACCTGGCACTGCCCTCGGGTAGGACCTGGGATACTCCCCTAGGGACCCTGATCAGGCACCGTCCTTGGGGAGGAGCTGGGATACCGCTCCAGGGACCCCAACCTGGCACTGCCCTCGGATAGGAGCTGGGATCCTCCTCCATGGACCCCTACCTGGCACTGCCCTGGGATAGGAGCTGAGATAACGACACCCACCTGGCACTGCCCTGGGAAAGGAGCTGGGATACTTCCTCCAGGGACACCCACCTGTCGTCACCCTGGGAAAGGAGCTGGGACACCCATCCAGGGACCTGGCACCCCCTCAGACAGGAGCTGGGACACCCCTCCAGGGACCCCCCACCCAGCTGCATGGTGCCTGGGAGGCAGGGGCTGTCTGGAGTCAGGGCCTCCAGTGCTCCGGGCAGGGCCCCGGCTGCCTGTGGGCTCAGTGAGGGGGGACTTGGGCCCAGCTCCTGCTGTGGCTTCTGGGCCTTGCTGGTTGCTTCCCCCTCACCTTTCTGCTCCTGGTGTCAAGGTGTTTTTAAGAGGCATTGGGTGTTGGGGGCAGCCCAGCTGGGGACTTTGACTGGGCTGTGCCAGTGCTCCTGCTGGAGCAAAGCTGGGCGGTGCTGACTGAAGGGGCTTGCCCCTCTGCTGGGCATGAGACCCAGCACCAGAGTTGGGGGCAGGGAGGAATTTTACTCCTGGTCGGATTGGTAGGGACTGTGGGGGGTTTTGTTTTCTCTGAAGCAGGGGGCTTGGCCCTCTGCCAGCGGCCTGTTGAGGGTGTATTGGCCTTTCATAGAAGCAGGTGCAGGTGCTGTGGTGCCCCTGCTTTACCTGTGGCAGGTTAGGGTGGGAGGGCTGTGTTGCATCAGGGTTGGCGGCAGTCTTGTATTGAGTGTAGATTATGTTTGTATGGGATGGTGTGGACAGGCATGATCTGGCCTCGGGCAGGGGGCTGAACTAGGTGATTCTGGAGGGCTTTCCCAGGCCGGCTTCTCTGTGATTTCTGTGAAGCTTTTTAGACTGAAGCCTCCCGGTCAGAAAACACCAGCTCGTTGCTTTCACTCATTTCTTTGACCACGGAAAAAATAATAGAGGCATTTTCCTGTTGCTGAGAACTCAGATCACAATAGGTCATCCTGTTTTTAACACAGAGGATTCCCCTTTGAAATCTCTGGGTTTCTCTTGTGAATCATGTTGGCTATGCCTAGCAGTGCTAACACAGTGTGGCACCCCACACCACCCTTAAAAGCATTTCAAGGCAATCCAGGGTGCTGGATCACCTTGATTGAGAATCGCTGTGTTAAGGCAAGGCTGGCAGCTCTGATCCCTGTGTTGAAACCTTTTGGAGGAAATGTCTGGAAGCAGAGTGCTGTGTCAACTTGGAATTGATTGACCCAAACGTGCAGCTCAGAGTGATCCCAACAAGGAAGTGGCCCCATGTCACCCCAGCAATGGGTACTAAGAAGTGGGATGGAAGAGTTGCCTTCAGGTTCCCCACCTCTGATGTTAACACTGCAGCTGACAGCGAGGATTACTGCAAAGTGGGCTGGGTATGAGATGGAAGTTGGGCACTGCCTGGAGTCCCCTGGAGCAGTGTGTTGTGGAAACGGGCTGCCTATGTGGGGGAGAGGACCAGGTGTAGGTCTTGGACACAGGGCCTTTCTTTGTTCTGGTTTTGTGCAGAGCTGCACGCAACAGAGTCTTGATCCATAACTGAAGCTCCTGACTCAAACAGTATTACATAACAAAAGGGATCCTGGCCCAAGAACATGAACTCCTTTCTCACACATCTTAAAACTACTAGGTTGCTTCCGGCTGTGAACATAACTGGCCAAAGGTAGCTAAAATACCCACCTTTTAGCCCGAGAAATAGGACATTTGATCAAGGAATAAGAAACATATTCTAGGCCCTCCCTCATACGGGGTTTGAACCTAAATAGCCAAATTCCTAGGAAATGGCTCTAACCAGCAAATAATACCTGAAATGCTTTTCAGCTTCCTTTTGAAGCCAGGCCCTGGGACAGGGAAGAGGAAAAGGTATCTGGGGCCAGGAGGAAGTTAGCAAGTTGGAGGGAGTAGGCATTGCCTTGGATGAGTGAGGGCTTGAGGTTCTAGTTCCCACTTTCTAAGCTTTTTCTGCACCTTGGCTCAATATTTGTTAGCTAAACTAATACACCACAGTGGGATAGTCCCCTGACCATCTGGCTATTCTGGGGTGGGAGCATTTTTCTCCCCCTCCCTGCTGCTGCCATGGCATTTCTTGAGCCAGAAAGATTGAGCATGACTCGAGTGTGATCTATTGGATGAAATGGGGCACCACCTTCTCTGGTAGCCAGGTTGTGAAACCAAGTCACCCTTGTTTGGCCAGTCTGAGAGAGGCCATAAGCACCCATGCCTTCAGTAAGACATTTAGGGTTAGGAATGTCAGAAGGAGGGTGCGTTCTCGCTCGGTCGTGCTGCATAAGGTACGTAAGCCTCGGCCAGGGCTGGGATTTCTGACTGGCCTGTTTTCAGCGCTTCTTGTTGGCAGCTCCCTGCTCAGTGTATTGGTTTTTGTGAATTCAGAGGGGTCAACTCTATCCTTGCTTTATTATGCACCTAGTTGCATAATTTAGGACCCAGCATTACATTCTGGGGGCTAGATACCTAGTGGCTAGAGCAGCAGGATCTTCATCTGCTTTTGTACATCTAACTCTGTTATCTGCCACCTTACACACATTTTAAACCTGGACCTAATCTGGATCCAGATCTGTGTTGTTTAAAACTCCTATCAAAGTTTAGGCTCCTTTGAATTTGGGTAGCTGGCCTAGCTTTTTATTTTATTTTATTTTTTAAGGAAGATTATTAACTGCGAGAAGAATTCTTACTTCCCTTCGTCTCCTCCAAGGTTTTTGTTACAAGCCCGTAATGCAGAGCAGCAAGGGTTGAGTACCTTGCCACAGAAGTGTGGTAGATTTTGTACATCAAACTGGCCAATGGGCTGAATCCCACTGATGAATTATTTAGCAGGTTTAATTTCTCTTTTTCAGTAAAGCTGTGTGAGAACTTAAGTTAATTATACTCCACTGGGCATGTGAACATCATGACTGCTCCCTTGCTTCATCCATCAAGCACACTTTAACAACAGATGCAATTAGAAGCAGTGAGTCTTTGGACATTAGGGGGCCAAATGCCTGCCAAAGTTAATAGAAGCTCTTCCCTTGGTTTTGCTGTGAGCCTAGGCTCCCTATTCAATGCATGGGGAAAGGTAGGCACTTAAGCCTGGGACCCATACAAGTGAGCAGGCATCTGTGTTTAGCCTCCCAAGCTCTCTAGGAAATGCTGAGGAGAGGGGCAGGGCTTAGGTAGCTAACACCAAGCTGGAGCAAGGTGCTTCCTACCACTCTGGTTAATGGACACGAACACTCCCCTGTAGTTAGACATCTGAGACAAGTCAGTCGTTCCTTGAGAGAGAAGAAGGTGGTATCACCACCTGATGCCCAGCAGCCATGGAGACTTGCAGTTAAATTGGGCATGGTAGTTCAAACTGACGATTTGAGGCCCAGTTCAATCGGGATTTGCACATGTCCTGTTACTCAGAAAAGTGTCTTAACCACAGGGCCAGAAAGTATTCTGGGTTGAATCAATCTCTGGTTCTACTGTGCACGGACTAATTAAATACTTAATAGGCCAAAGTGAGAAAATGGCCCTAGGTGGGGGGCAGAGGGGGAGAGCTGGGTTTCAGTCCCTGCCTTCCATGGCAGTGAAAAAATATCAGAAGTGTTGGAGACGTAGTCCTGAATACCTTATGCTATTTTGGTGGTGAGGGTGGGCTCAGAGGTTCATCTTCGCTGGGGCAGAAGAGGGAGTTGAATGCAAGTCTCCCACCCCCAGGTGATTGCTGTGACCACTAAGCTCTTGGGTAAAGGGAGACTCCTCCTAGGGAGTTACCTGAGCTTTAACCTAATAATCTACTGGATCAGGCTTGAAAAGCAGAGGAAGACTTATCTGGGGAATCTCACTGGGCCTTGGATGTGAGCACTGAGCTGATCTCTGCTCTCAAGGTTTACTTGACCCCTAGCAAACATGGAGGCACCCTGGGCCTTTACTGGGGTAACTTTGGCCCCGAGGGATTAGGCATCTTCAGGGATTGGTGGGGGTTTTGAGGATCTAAATTTTGCCCACTGGTGCCTAGCAGCCAGGTCTGTCTTGTGAATCTAGCCCTAGGTGCCTATCTGCATTTTTTGTTCAGGTCAGTGCCACTTAGGTACATACATTTCTTCAGAAATCTGATCTTTTGTGCCTAATGGAGTCTGGCTACATACCATGTTGCTACAGGGAAGAACTGAAAGGGGAAAGAGGTGTAGCTCACATAAGTCAAACGGTGTCAGGAGAGACTCTAATTGCCATGTCTATCACATCAGCGAACATTAGTTTTTCTGAAAATCCTGCTGGAAGCTTAAGACTCGGCTAACTGCTTTCAACATTGTGATTTGTGACTAAATGCAATCTGTGGCAAAATAAATTGCTGAGATTGCCAAAGCCACAAAGTTTTTGATTGAAGCATCTAACTGTATTTCTGTGGCAGTGGTTTTCAACCTGTGGTCTGCAGACCCCTGGGGACCTGCAGGCTATGTCCTAGAGGGTCTGCGAAAGATGCCTATGCTCAATCCAAAGTATGTGAATACCCATATTTACAATCCAATGGGGTCTGCACCTCCATTTTAAATTTTTTAGGGGTCCACAAATGAAAACAGGTTGAAAACCACTGTTCTGTGGCTTCACTTCGTGATTGCAATTTTTTTATTGGCACATTTCCAGCAAACAAAAAACAAAGCAACTTTGTACCCAATATAGTAGAGGTCTGGGCTATTAGGAATACTAGCTCCAGGTACCAATCCCACCTATGACACTACATACAAGTCTCTTTCTCCAGCCATGAGGAGGTAGGTCTGACTTCAAACAGAAACAGCAATCAAAACCCAGCCCGGAAAGCTCTAAAGAGAAAGCATTCAGCAAAGGGAATGAGTTTTCCCTTGGCTCATTTCCTTATTGCTAGTTAAACATTAAATATTAAAGCACTTATATACAAACAAAACATTTTACTTATTAATTAATCCTCACAGCATAGTTGTGAGAGAAGCCAGTGACCCTATGTATTTTAAAAGGGAAACTGAGGTAGGGGGAGAGGGAAAGTGACTCAATTGAATTCAGAGGGCATCACAGGAATAATGTAATTCATAACTTTGTCTAGCACTCTAGTCACTGTGAAGCCCTCCCCAGCTTGGGCTCACCTGGCATCCTTCATCCAAGACTCTTAAAAGTGCTTTGCTAGGAATAATTAAGCTTCAGAACACTCACGAGAGGGATCATTATGTATCCTGTACAGATGGATAAAGTGAGATACAAAAACTGTTGATCATCAAAGAGCAGCATCGCTGGGAAAGAAACCCAGTCTCTGTTTTAACCACTAGATCACTCCTCATTTGCATAGCCCAGTTTTCTTCCCTTTTTTTGGCAGAAGACACTGCAGTAGTAACTGCAGCAAAGTTTGTACTGCAACATCGCCACTTTGCAGAGAGAAATAACCTCTTCTCCCAAGTCTTTGCTTGGCTGCTTTTTTTGGCTCAGGACTACCTACTGAAGGCAGTTCTCCTACACTCCCCATTCCTGTAACCAGTGCCTCAGTTCTGCGGAGTAAGACATGGCAAAGAAGAGGAGAGAGGAATGGAGCAATCACTGCCTTCAGTGACTGCCTCTCTGGCTAAGTACAGATAGTCAAAATGCTCGAGGCTGAATTGATCCTGTCTTTGCAGGTTAGTCTAAGATGCAGAGGTTAAATTGAAACATAAGTGAACAGACATTTGCCTTTAATTCAGATGCTTCTTCCTGCTGCCCCCCGAGGTCTCTGGGATTTTCAGTCCAGAGTCACAGCAGCAGGATTCTGCAGGGTTGCTCGTCACTTCCTCTTCCTGATTCCAGGTGCCTCTGGGATTTGTAGTCCACAGTCGCAGCCAGCAGTAAGTTTGAATGGGGGAAGGGGTGTTTAACCCCCCTTCCTGGGGGCAGTCCTCTCCCCCAGACTGGGCTTGCCCCCCACCCCCATCAGCCAGCCCTCACTGCTCCAGTGAGGGAGCAGAGGGGTGGGGCCAGCACTGCTATGTGGAGCAGACAGCTCAGTCCAGCCCAGGGCTGGAAAGCATGCTGGGATGCTGGGGGACTCTGATTTAACTTGAACCAAGAAGGGATCTGGGACAGAAGTTTCATAAACTGGTTTGATCCAAATCAGTTAAGTCTGATACTACATTCAACCAGGTTTATCTTAAACCAGTTTCAGCCATTTTGAAATTGGTTTACTTGCACTGAGCTTCTGTTCTGTAACAGGTTTAAACCAGTTTCTGATCACTTAAACCAGTTTATGTGTAATTTCTGTCCCTAGCCAGGGATCGCAGGCTAGATCAGATTAAGGGCCTGACTGAAAGCCCAGTGATGTCAGTAGAGGCTCCTGTTGACTTTTACATGTTTTCAAATGAAGTGCTGAGTTTGGGCCATCAAAGGATTTGGGCACCAAGTCCCACCTCTGCCCTTATGGGTACGTGTATCTAAAATTTAGATCAGGGATAGGCAACCCCCAGCATGGGTGCCAGAGTGTGGCGCTCGAAGGCATTTTGCTTGGCATACGTGCCTCGGGGCAGATGGCAGTGAGGAAAAGGCCAGGGCTGCACTGCCACAACAAGGATTGGGCACCTCGTGGCTCCCCCACCATTTGCCCCTGGCATGCCAACAAAGTCAAGGTTCCAGGTGTTTTGGCACTCTGCCCAAAAACGTTGCTGCCCCCCTGATTTAGATCTTCAGAAACCCTGCTTAGCTGCCACCTGCCCTGAAGTGCATATCCAGGCTCCTCATAGGATATATGGGGAGAGTTAAGCATCCAAAGAAAGGGTGGTTAGAGAAGGGAGCTCCCCAGCTGAATGGGGAGCAGCTGAAAACAGCCAGGAATGAAATGCAGAGGAAAGGGGTAAGGATTAAAGACTTCTGTTTCTGACCAGGCCGGTACTGTCTTCTCCTCAGCATCCTCAGCCATGAGCCATCTCTTGGACTGAGTGCTTAAGCCCATTTTTTCTGTATAAGCATGCACATACATACACAAACCCAGAAGACCTGATATCAGGCATGAAGCTTTAGAGCATTTATCTGGGGTATGAGAGAGAGACTGTGGATCAGGTGCTTGGGTCCATGTGCCTTAACATTTAGCGGACGGAGGGACAAACAGAGCCAGCTAGGGAGCCTCTGGCTCAGGAGTGCTGTGAGCACATCTACAGAGCAGGCTCTGCTGGAAAGGTAGGTGGGGGAACACCTAGTCTGAGAGTCTGCTCCAGGGCTTCAGCCTTGAGCTCAGGCTCCAACTAGCTTGTTAGCTTCTGGCTGGTATCAGCACTTTGGTGGCTTTGCAGATGTCTACTAGTAGAAACTCAGGTTCCTGTGGTTTACAAGCAGCCTGAGTGGTAGTTTTGAGAGAATACATGGTGTCAAAATGATGGATTTGAAAGTTTAAAGAAGCAGATACGTGTCTTTGAAGATGCAGGCTTTTGCATCTACTTCCCTCTCTGTAATACTTCCCTTCTGCACAGAGGCGTGAGGATCTATGAAGATGGTGCGGCGCTCAAATACCACGGTCCACAGATGGATAGCCTGTTCTAGAGATCTGTCGATTACTTTCCACTGTGTTCAGAGAGGCCCTTGTCTCTTCATTCAGGCACAGCTCTAGAAGTATGCGACCATGGTGAGTGACCTCAATACGTGGGCAAAGACATTCCCCCGAGGCATGTGTCTGGGCTGCAGCTCAACAGCCATGCTGCCAAACTGCTGGATGCTGCAGGTGACTAACAAGGACGAGGCGCCAAAGTCACTTGTGCGGATTTATTTGTTACTGCTACTAATAAAGATTGTCTACCTCAGCTAAACTGGAGTCTGGAGACAATTAGCTTGTTCTGTGAAACAAGACCCCTTGCGCTACGGCGGCCGTGTTAAACAATTACCATCCCTTTAAACAGGGCATAGGAGGAGGAAGGTGGTAGCAGGCTCCCCTTCACCCCTGCTCAAGCAAGCGACTCTATTATCCCCTCCTCGCAGTGAACTCTTGCAGCTTGCGCTTCAGGAAGCAGCAATGGGAGCAGACGGATATTTTTCCTACCCTTTGCACTTGTTAGATGAAAATCATCTCCCCGGTAGAATCGACTATAGAGGAAGCCGCTGGCCTGCTGGATGGCTCTACAGAAACGGGTGTGTAAAACACGCTCTGGATAATGATGTGTGCGCTCATAATAATGATTTTAATACCTGTTAGAACTGACAGCTGTACACGTTCTCTGCTCTGTCGACAGATGTTCTTCTGCCTGGCGAGGTGAGTTGATTCCAACTGGGGAAAAGGGACAGGAGAGTGAATGAGATGCTATCATTCATTTCTCTTTTATATATATATATATTTTTTTTTCTTTTTCTTTTCTTTTTTGGGCTGTCTGCCAGACAGGAATCTGACACTACCGCATCAGCAGCTGCAGGGAAGCCCCCTAGCCATTCCAGTTCATCCTCCTCCACAGGCTGTCACAGCTTAGTAGAGAGAGGCATGGGGGGCAGGGCTCTGTGCTTGTTTCAACTTGGCTGCACTCAGTGAAACTGTTTTAATGCCTCTTCCTCCCAATTTGCAATGCAGCGGATGGGAAAGTGCTGCCCTGCTCTCCAGACTGGGCTTGATGCTCATGCTGACAGACAGCATTTAATTGCGAGCAGTCCTTCTCTATGCTGAAGTTGTCATCTTCCCACCACATCCTGTTCCGTTGCTCGGTCTGCGCAGCAGTGTGCCATTTCATGAAGATTTAAGTGTTTTACTGTTCCACATGAGGGAGAGAACAGCATGAGCAAGGCTGTGGGGTGAAGAGAGAAAATTTTCAGGGAAAAAAAAAAAGAGCTCTTTATATTTGGAAGGCAGCAAGGCCAGGGCACGAGATGAACAAAATGCTCAGTGTAGTAAGTCCTTGCACCAACCTGCTCATATCATAGCTGTACCTAATTCCTGCAAAATGATTTCCGTACAAAGCCATCTTTATTTTAACAGGGCCGATAAGACATTTATTCCAGGAAGATGCAGACTATAATTTTAACATGGATACACCCTCCAGACAGGGTTATGGAATGAGACTAGTCCAGTTCCCGTAAAAATCAAGGGAAAACTTCCCATGCACCTTAATGGGACACGGAGCAGGCTTTATACACTTCCGTTAACTCATTGACTGCAAGGTCTAATTCTAATGCATATTCTCCTTTTCTAACTTCTAGTAGGGGAAAGGTCAGGGGAGATGAGCTTTTCCCACAGTCTCAGCTCTTTACACTGACTCCCAGTACAAAGGCCTAACAATGAAATCCAACCGAAAGTCCCTTTGTCAAGATAAAATGCCATAGGCTACAATTTGGTTGCAACAGTGTAAATGAGAAAAGAATTTAACCTCCTGTGTTCAAAAGCAACACCCATCCCTGCGTCCTGGGAAACATTTTGGATGATTAATGAAACTCCTCTTTAGACATTTCTCTGTCTAAAGTATTTGAATGGCATTCAGTTTGGTATTTACTTTTTTACATTTCACTTTTACTCCATTTACCCAGGACACGGAACAGGTTCACTGCCAGGTTAGGGTTGGTTTCACTTTTTTTTTAAACTAAGATGGTAGAGAAAAGCTGCCGTTTGGGGACTTCCAGCACAGTAAGCCAAGTCATGAAAATAGCTTTATATCTCATTGGACATCATAGATCTGCTTGTTAATAACATCTACTAAATCCTGAGGTCTCAGTCAGGCTTTTCCAATAAGAGCCAAGCAAAATCTCGGGCTCCTTTTGGCTTCTCTCGCATCAGAAGTCACAGGAAAGGTGATATATTCTGAGGTTTCCCGTGTTTTCATCGAATTATTGTTGACTCATAGATCTTGAGGTGGGCACAGGAAATGATTTTCTGGAAAGAAAGCTTCTCAAGCCTGCAGCCTCATGAGGCAGGGAGTCTTTCCAGACCTGCAGAGACCTGGCTCATCTGAATGCAGAGCCCTGCAAGTGGGTGAATGTCACCCTCTGTGTACTGCTTTAATAATTTTACATAAAGCCTAAGTGAAAAGGAAGTTATATAAATCCACATTTAATAAAAAGCTTACAGGTCAGGCTCTTCATGCTTTACTTAGTGGTCTTATTAAGACTCCATGTGGACGAAGGAATTGCTCAGGCGACAGAACCTGGCCCGTAGTAAATAAAGTCCCTTTGTCTGCTGTTGTGGTTGGTGCTAGTGAGGAAGAGCAAAGCAAAACTCATCCCTGGGAGATGACCTACCTTCCATTTGAATGGAGCGGCTAAATGCAGAACATGTTTGGGCTCCTCCACCTTTCCTGAAACAAAGCTCTCATTCCTTCCACAAAAGAGGCTTTGAAAAGTTGGTTGCTGAGGTTTTAACTTTTCGAAAAAGGTTTTTCTGTTAAAAGCTCCTGGTTGAAAATGCCAAATCCCGTTGTTGCTAAGATTAAGGTTTTTTGTTTCTTAGATTTGGCTTAAAAGCAAAGACCAGTGCATGGATTACTGCTCTTTCTTTGGCCAAATAGAGCAAGGGTGCTTTGAGCACATTGTGCTTAAAGTGGGATCAGAGAGCGGCATGTGATTTTTTTTTTTGTTTTGTTTTGTTTAACAATGATGGGGTTTTTTTTGGTTTTGTTTTGTGTTTTGTTCTTTTTTTTAACTAACTGTGGTACAAAAGTCAGATGCAAAATTTAACACTTGTAACTAAAATGAAAACAAAAATTTATATAACCCTGAAAATCCTCCCTTCCCTTCCTGCATAAAGCAAAAACAGCTACCATGGGGAGATCAATTTAAAATGTGATTTATTTCATTTTTTTCCCCTCAATGAATACAAACAAACATGTCCAGATATGCAGGGTGATCGGATTTATAGCTTTAGCTCCCATTTTATGCATTTTTCTGCATTTATAATTTTTTTTTATTCTTTTGTTTTGTATCTTTCCCCCAAAGCTAATGCCACAAGCAAAAGTAAATCTAACTAATTTACTCGGTGCAGGGGAGGTTATAAAAATTAGTCAGAAAACAGAAGATTTTTCCTATCGCAAGACAGCAGCTTCAGCCGTGACTTGGAAAGACCATGTTCTCTCCAGCTCGAGAATGAATGTAGTAACTGTGGTGTGTTAGTTCTGGCTTTCAAATGAAATACAGATCGCAGATTGTGCCTAATTGTACACGGTGATTTTATGATATCCCTGGCTACTGAGCCAAGACACTGATGTCAGATGCAAGTATACTAGCTATTGTTAAATTCATCTACCGCATGGTATGCTTGGTTTCCTTTTTCTCTTCCCTTGCTTCCAAACTGTTGTGTCTTGGGTCATTACCTAAAGTTCATTTCAGTAAACTACCGTCCAACATCATTAAATCTCACCATTATAGTGCATGACGTATTAGTGCCATATTGTCCTTGATCACAGAAAGCTCAATCCAACTCCCTTTGAAGTCAGTGGGCTCATTTCTATATCATTTCAATGGGAATAGAATGGTTTTGTCAGGAGGAATAAGGAGGGTTCCTCGCCTTCAATGAAATGAAAAGAAGTTTCTTCTTCCAGATCCACAACGGTTCTGGGAGTGGATTACACTTTTGGAGATGTGCTGGTGTGCAGCACCTGTGAAGATCCTCCAACATGGTTCCATGTTGTGTTCACTTGTGGCTACCCCTGGGCCAGCCTCAGGAGGTTCGTATGAACAGCCGGAGCAAAAGCAAAACACGTGGATAACCCCTGAAGCATTTGGGGATGAAGGAGTGATGCTACAGACAGTAGCCACCCCACCTGGATGTTGATCTTCCTGCTTCTGGACAGCCTTCTCTTGAAGTAAGCAAACGGCAGTATTTCCCAAGCTCTGCCACTTGTGACGTAAAACTGAGATGCTGCTCATAGTAGACTGTTGAGGCAAACATCACTGCTTGGTTTACATACAGAAGCATGGGGTTCAGGGTACATGGTGGCAGCGAACAGGGAAACGTGTAATGAGGGCTCACTGGGTTTCAACAGACTTCAAACATGGTGCTCAAATCATCTATTCCTGAAATTTTATACAGATAAACCTGTAACCAAAATTAAAGATGGCCCTACTGTCAACCTAGCATCTTTGCTTTTCAGTTGAATCACTTTCTCCCACTCTTTCTGGCTTTGAATATTTATTTTATAAGGTTTTCAGGGCATTCAACATGGGCCAGATTCTATTCCATGTATTCGGTGTGCCACTTGACTTAAGCACCTGTGCCATTTTATTTCTATCCTGCTCACGTCCTTAAAAAAACCGTTAATGCAAAAGATGGCTGGGGTTCTTCTTGTCTTTTGTGGCACAATCTTATGGGCCACAGTTGATGAATGGATGGATTTAAAGGCACGTGAGCAGGATGGAGTAGAATCACAAGTAGGTGTGTAAGTCCACTTATGGGAAGAATAGAATCTGGCCCTATGTCTTCCTAAAGGGCAGCTTACAATACATTTGTTCATATTAAATATTCCTATAAGATGTAATCTTGACAGAGAGGCTCTTATGGAAAAAAGGGATATTTCAAAGGCTAGAGTATACTGACATGTGGCAAATGCTAGGACATAGGATGATCATAGACTACTGAATCAGTAAGTCCAGGTTGTAGTGTTGTTTTTATCCAAGTGGGAAAGTAGGGGCATTCCTCTGGCATCTGGAATCGCCAAGGAGAGAATTAATGCCAACATCCGATGCTGGTTGTGCAGATGCTTAGCCCTTTGAAGCTTCTCTCGAGGGATGGGGACAGCATAAATTGGCTTCACCTTGTTCAGGAAGCCTGGTAAGACCAAGATCCTGTGACTTTATTATGTGAAAGCACTGATCTGAGGGACACAGGCTTATTGTAGGACAAAGAAGTGACAGAATTGTGTACTTTACCCCCTGATTTTATGAAGAATAATGGAGGTGGGTAACAGCAGATAAGATGGGTATGCATGTAAACTGTTTACTGCTCATTAAAATGCTTTCCTAAGATAAACTTTCGCTTTTACTTTCCTTTTCGCTCATGAATACCTTATTTTGTGAAAGCTGTCTGGTCATGGATTTACTGCCATTGTCCCAGAGAGACACATGAATGGCAGGTCCTGACAAACTCAGACCTGCTGGATAATCACGGTGAACTACAAGGGGACTTAACTCAAGGGCAGGGGGCTAGACTCGATGATCTTCCGAGGTCTCTTCCAGCCCTAATGTCTATGAAATCTATGAAGGTCCCAGTCAGGTGGGGGAGAGTGTGTGTTCCTGCCCCAAGAAGAGGCATGGCTAGAGGCCTAAACCCTGAGTGAGATGCCCCTGACGAACCTACGAAAGGGCTAGAAGCGTAGTTAACTTAAGAACTGTTATAGTCACCTTGCAGAAAATGAAATTAAATAAAATCCAACATGAGTGAAGGTATCTCAACCTGACTCCAGGCATTTGGAAGGAGCTTAACACACTTTAGAGGTGCTGCAATAAAAATAAGACTAAATTCCAAGTGCCCTGAATCCACAAAATAAATGGCAGAGCTTCCATTGACTTGGATGGCAACAAGGTTGGGGCTTGAGTTATTTGGCTGTTAGCTCTCCAGCATTATTGAAAGAAGGCCTTTTTTATCTAACATTTTATTAATGCATCAACCAGGACTTGGTTTAATCTTTAAAACAAACATCAATGCTGAGAATACATCACTTGTTTGGATATATGCTCTGTGTTACATTTATTCCCGGACAGGCAAATTACAATGAAAATAATCATTGTTGGAATACTGATGCGATGTGAACTAATGTAGGGATATTTATTCACTGGAATGCAATTACCAGCAATACTCCATTTTCTGAACAGTGTGAGTGTAATCCAATTTAGGCTTTTTTAACCCCTGGTGATTTTGTTTCATTTTACATTGTGATAGGTTGGAAAGTGCTATGATTGCTGGGGGCACAGAAAGGGAGAATAAGGGGAAATAACACTACATGTAACCTGAGATCTTAATGACTTTACTCCGTCTACATATCCAGGGGGCTGTTCGTCATGATTGCACTGTTAATTGAATTAAAAAACAGAAGAGATCCTATGCTCATTTTGTATCAATGTCATTCATTTTCTGATGAACGCTTAGTCTCCAGCCTAAAAAAATAATCAGATATGGCCTTAGGCTAAAGGTATCAGTTGGGCCACAGACTGCCTGCAACAGAGACAAAGTTGATTGAGACACAGTATCAAGTGGCAAAGAGAATAAGGGATGCATGATGTGAATTGTGCAACAGGCGTGTGCTGCAGCAGTGTCCTGGCAGAGTGGTGGCAGCAATGTTTTGTGGAGAGAGAATAGCTTCTCTCCTTCAGAAATGGAGGGATCACGGGAGGAGACAGTTTCTTTTAGAGCTAAAAACTAAGGTCAGGTTCTGGTACATTCATTGATGGTGTAGAATATCTTGCTCCACCAGAACATCTGTTGAAACAAACATGGCCACTTAATGGAACGAGGCATCACTTGGCATGAGAAAGAGGATACATGTGTGCAAAAGAGGTGTTTTCAATCATTCAGGGACACATCATAAGCATGCAAAGGGGGCAGATTCTAATTGTGCAAAGGCCAGGAAAGTCACAATTGTAGTTCTCCAACCTCCAATGGCAAACTTTGTCATGAGCTGAAGATAAGGATAGCTTCCCAAGTAGTGCACGCTCACAGGTAACCACAATGGATGGGGTGGGGAATAGCAAAGGAAGGAGGGTGTCCAGATTATTGTATCTCACCTCTCCATGAGATAAGGTGGCCAAGCACAGAGAGATGTATATGCCACACCCAAGCTCTTGGAAGCATATTATCAATGCTGAGTAGTGTTTTACCAGGCCTCAAACTAGTAATTAGGTGTGTAAGAAAAAATATAATAAGCTATTTTTGTGTGCCCTCTAAACTGACACTTGAGTAGGCAATCAGGATACCAGCCCCTAGTTACGCTATCAGTGTCAAGACCTAAGAAGTTTATAGTCCAAAAGTGTGCACACAGGTAGAGACCTGGCCCTGCACAGACCTCCACTGACATCCCTAAGTGTCTACCTGTATGGTTGTCTTCAATGGCTACTTAACATGGAGGCGTTAAGCAGCAGAGGGGGAAAAGGGAGGCAGAACAATAGCTATGTTAATATGTCTGGTCAGTGACCCAGATTTGGAAAATGTAAAACTTCAGGCTCTGAACATAAACAAGCATAGTGGTTTTCTTTTTTGCATGGTTGGTTGTGTGTGAAGCAAAGGGCATGTTCCTAATGTTTGCAAGAGAAATGATGTACTTCACAGATGCTCTGACTAGGACACTGGGTAGCATGAAGCTGTAACGCCATGGTTTTTTGGGCCTGTTAAGCATGTTCTTGAATTAACTGCCCACTAGGGCCATTTTAACACCTTTCTATGAAGCACTTGTAGCCAGTTATGGTCAGAGCAAAGATACAACCCCCGATGGACCAGTTGGTATCATTTTTTTGCAAATGGGACTTTTTTGAGACCTTATTATTATGATTAAAATTGATTTGCATTGCCATAATAGCTAGAGGTTTCTGCCATGCTAAGCTCACTAGAAGACAAAAGATAAATGGTAGGGCTGCGTGAAATGGCACTGTTCTGTTTCGACTTGAGTTTCGAGGTTTCGACAGAACAGTGTTTTGTTTTGAATTTCATTTTAGTTTGAAAAAGTTGTTTCATTTCGCTTCGTTGAAACAGTGAGGCTGTTTCAATGCTGTTTCGACATTTCGCCCATTTGCTATAATGGGGAAGCTCAAAACAGCCTTTCTCATCTGGCAGGCAGATTGGGGCCCAAACCTGGGAGGGCTGTGCTGGCTGTGCCAGTCCTCCCGGGGCTGAGGGCCCTGATCTGCCTGCCAGATGAGGAAGGGAAGCCAGTCCTGCTGCCTGGGACTGAGGAAGGCAACTGAGCCCAATTGCTCAGTTCTGCTCCCTAGCTTTAGATCGAGCTGGGGATGGGAGGTCAGCCCAGCTGGGCTGAGTTCCCATCCCCAGTGCTAGATCAAGCTGGGGAAATGAACTCAGCCCAGCCGGGCTGAGTTCCCCTCCCTAGTATGACCATCGGGCTGGGCTTGGGAATTCAGCCCAGCTAGGCTGAGTTGCCTTCCCCAGCCCAATCGTAAGGCTGGGGAGAGAAACTGAGTGATCCGGCTCAGTTCCCTTCTCCAGCCCAATTGCAGCGGTGTGATTCCCCTGCGCTGTGATCAGCTTCCCACAACCCAGCTGCGGGCAGAGGGGAGAGCCAGGTCTGCGTTCCCCGCCTGGCTGAGCCTGGAGCCTCTGGGAGCACAGCCCTGGTTCCCCTCTGTCTCCCACCACCTGGCTGCCGGCTGCTTCAAAACTTGGAATGTTTCGAAGCTTTTGAAATGTTTCGACTAGCCTTGTTTTGTTTCGAGGCTGTTTTGAAGCCCTTGGTTTCATTTTGATTTCGCTGTTTTGAGCTCGAAATGAGTCGAAATTGTGTTGAAACAAAATGGCTGGCGAAATTTCGCACAGCCCTAATAAACGGTGGGAATCGGAAACTAATAACACGACTGTGATCCATGTTAGCAGCAGTCACAAGTACATGGTTCCACTAAGAGTTCAGCCTGCAGAGGACTTGCAGAATCAAGCCCTCTATACTGGTAACAGCCAATCAGCAACATGAGTCAGAGGAAAATGCAGACTGCAGCTTTTAGTCTTTTAAGTCCCTGCTGACGTGTTTGCTTTTTACTTTTTAATATAATTTGTCTTGTGAGTTGGCATGTGGGTTTGCTTTTTTTGTTGTTGTTGCTGGGGGTTTTTGATCCAGCCATTTACTCTAAGTGCTTGTGGGGCCCTTGACAGAAAGCAACTTGGGCTCATGTCATGAGCTAGCAAAGGGAGAAGAGAATGTTATATCAGACCTTACTTAAGTCCAATTGGATTTAAATTACATGCCACCAGGGGCTTTGTTCAAGACATCTGGAACAGCAGAAACACCTGTGGAGCAGAATTTCAAGATGACAAATTTTCTCTCTCCCTAGGCAAGCTATTTATTTCTCTTGTCTACGGTTTCACTCCATGGAGTTCAGGGGAGTTAATGCTGATCTACACTGGGGTGACTGAGAAAAGAATGAGACATTTTCTTTCCTTGAGCGAAAAACAAATACACAGCACAAGCCTGCAAAGCCAAGCTGAACACGTGCTAATCGAGCACATTTTCTTCAAAGTGTGATCCTATGAACAGCAGTCCCATTAAACAAGCTTTTTGTCCCTGAACACACCAAAGTATCTATACTCCCTGCCGAGAGCTGGACCCCTCTCTGTAATGATGTTTCCTGGACTCTTGAGAGGCAGAGTCCAGTGTTAAATAGCAAAAGCCAGTGTTGATTTTATGTCAATTCACGCAAACTTCAAAATGAAGCAGCCTAAAGAAAAATACCTCTCTTCACTGATGCTGGAGAGCTATTGTTCTTGCAAATCAGTGGTATGGATTTTGCATCGTGACAGTCAAATGCAGATATTTTGAGATGAGCCTGTTGACTGCTAACACAAGGTCCAGGATAAAGGCTGTAGTGGAGAGATAACTGCCTCGAGCGCCTGGGTACAAACTGAATGCATTAGGTCAGGATTGTTCTTGTTTTACTTGTTTATACAGTGCCAAGCATAAGAAGGTGTTGTTCTCGATTGCATGGGACTTAGTACACAAGGTAGCAACTGATTTGATATCTATCCCCTGTCCAATTGCGGTGAATAGAGAGTAGGACAACAGGCTCGTAGCCTGCTAAAAGCAGTATGTATAATGAATTGGCTTTGCAGGGTTATCAGTGGAAGGTCCCAAACCAGAACAGCACAGTGCTTCCAACTGAAGACTTTATATATTCTGTGGAACTTAAGGAGATAAAATGCATGTCATATATAGGAAAGAGCAATTCAGCAGGTTTTTATCTTTCTCTCTTCAGAAAGGCCATGCTGTTACACAGCTCCAACTAGCTGAAGTGCTTGGAA